CAAGTCTTCGATATCTTATAAAAAAACCACACACTATTCATGTAGCCAAACAAAAGTAGGATAATAAGTAACTTTGACTGTCCATAAAGAAACCCCCATCTTGATATTGAAGACTTTTTCCATTTTTTTTCCAAAAACCCTCCAAATTGCTTCCACGGTTATATAATAAAATGTGAAATTTGTATGCGCAACAAACAATCCGTTTGCAATCAAACCATAAACCTTTAAACTTCGATGTTCACATTTATAGCAATTTGGTGGCATCAACATAGGCGTCAAAAGATGGATTTCACTTAGTAAAAAGTAGATACTACTCATATTTTCATGTGTTAAATATGTAAATAAATATGAAACATGTGGTATGTTAAATTCCCTCAATTGAAGATCATGAAGAGAAAAATCTTCATAATACATCAAAAAACCATTCTAAGGATAAACCAATTGACACCATCCAAACAAAGTGCTTCTACTATCATAGACTACTCTCTTGAACAATCGAATTAGGTCCATAACTCATTCAAAAACAATGCTTACACTATTATTAACCATTTCCCTTTAATACTCAATACACATTGAGCTAAAGTAGCAGAAGGAAAGAAAAAAAAAAAACACAACATAAGAAGAACCATATGACATTTAAAAGCAAAATCTCAACCATATGCAATTACTTCCATATATCATATGGTATCAAACAAAAAAATAAAACATAGAGCAGGCAAAATGGCATGATTCTTCTCACCAACGGATTGAGCACAAAAAAAGTTAGCATGATATAAACCTAAAATATATAAAAGCAAAATCTCAACCATATGCAATTACTTCCATTTATCATATGGTATCAAACAAAAAAATAAAATATAGAGCAGGCAAAATGACATGATTCTTCTCACCAACAGATTGAGCACAAAAAAAGTTAGCATGATATAAACCCAAAATATACAAATTTAACATTTTTTCCTCCTCACAATAGGATAGGTCACGATCATTATAGAAGGTCTTCCACTAACCTTCGATCGAGACATGAATTGTGAGAGAAAAGCAATGAGACAAGCTACATATTAACATTTTTTCCTCCTCACAATAGGATAGGTCACGGTCAGTATAGAAGGTCTTCCACCAACCTTTGATCGAGACATGAATTGTGAGAGAAAGCAATGAGACAAGCTACATATACATACCAATGGCCATGAATGAAAGCAAGAGCAAGGGGCTTTGGATACGTGCGAGGCGAAGTAGGGCTAGGAGATGAATGAAAGCGAGAGTAGTGAAGGAAAAAAAAACCCTCGTTGTTTATTCGTAAATCGTGAGATGCAAGTGCTAGCACTCAATCATGAAAATGATATTTTTAGGATGTAATTATTTAATGGGGGAAAAAAGGAGCCCCTCAAATACATAAATACTAAATTTTTATTTGAAGACGGTTCTAAAAGCCTAAACAATGGGCCTTATATTATATGTTATTTATGTAATTTTTTTAGTCCATTAATCTTTATTCCTATCGATGCCTTCTTCCCTCCCTATCAAAAAAATCCACAGTAACAGAGGCATCGATTACAAGTTGAGAAAGAAGGAATGGCGTGTGGAAGCCTATGCTTCCAAACCCTTTGCTCTCGGTTCCCCGTTTTCGTCTCCGCTTCCTCTACTTCATCGCCGTCATCTAGAAGAGCATTACCCGGTGACTGGTGGGCGAAGGCACCTCTGATACCGCCCCTGAACCCTAAAGATCCTTTCCTTTCCAAGCTCGCCTCAGTAGCCACCACCTCTCCCGAAGCCCTAGAGTTAAAGCGGGCGGTATTGGACACCCCGCCGTATCTCGACCTCCTTGACAGCCCGAAGTTGATGGCCACTCCAGCCCAGGTAAGAATGGCTTCTTTGTTGTTTTGCAAGTTTATCACACTTTTTGTTGGTTGAGAGTGTTGAGAGATGGCAAGCGGTCGTGAAGGATAGAAGTAGGGTTCTTTCACTGTTGCAGAGGAGAAGTTTTTCGTGATCTGAACCTAAATTTTGGTTTGAGTTTGGGAAAAGTGGTGAGGTTTGTCTTCCGCTTCATGGTCTGGTGTTTGGTGCATAGGAACCCTTGAGGACTTGGGTTTGAGTAAGGAAATGGCGCGTACGAGTGACTGTGCTTCGCCACTCAAAGTTATAAAAACTGATAAGAGTTTGGTGGGCGATGTCAGCCATATGCACCTTTTCTTTTTTATATTGATTTTGAAATTCGGAAGTCGTGCTTGTTTTTTGATCGAAATGTAAGGGCGCCTCCTGGGACTTCATCCTAAGGAAACATTATGGCGGGTCTGAGAAATTTAAATAAGTAGTGACAAAATTGCTATTTTGTATGAGTTGGAGAGTTGGAATTGTTGGACATTTGAGAGGGCACAATTGAGCCGGTCAAACCTAGTTGAATTAAAAAAGATGTTGAGATCAGTGATGGTAAAAGCACATTTAATTGTGAAATGATTGATTTTGTTTTCTTGGAATGGTGCAAGGAACTTTAAAAAACTATGCAATTACTAAATTTTAAATTAAAGGAGAAAATATATGGTATTCATCCTATAGAGCAAGAAAGCTAGAGTTTTGGATAAGGCTTACTTGTCAGTTGTAACAAAAAAAAATTAAAGAGACAAAAATGAAGCATTATGATACTCTTATGTAGCCATATCCGTTAGATTAACTTTCCTAATAGTTTTGAATACAAGATAAAAAAGATTCAAAACTGAAGGACTCAAACAAACTTATCATCCTTTTCTTAAGAGGCTATTTGGTTCAATATTATTTGAAATGTGTTTGTTATAAAGATGTCTGTTTTTATTGCCAAATGTTTTGTTTTTGGTATTTTTGTATTAAAATATTTTACATTTGTTGATCCAATTGTATCTTCAAGCAAGATGACCACTTGGGTTAATTCCATTAGAATAAACAACTTTAAGCTCACCTAATGGTCAAGTTACTTCAAATTAACTAGTGTATGGGGCCATTTAGGATTGATAAACCCATATGGAACCACATTTTAAGGCTACATGTCAACAGTGGTTGAACACTTCAATGTGAGCAAGTCTAATTCATCATGGAATGCTACGTGATCAAGCCAAAGGAACCAAAATCACCATCTTACCTTCATCTGGTTAGTCACCCTTAATTGGATATGAAGGGGGGAGGGCTACCCGATCTATTGTTGAGGAATTAGTTTAGATTTTCATTAGATTAAGGATAATTATTATCCTATTGTAATTGATTTATTGATCCATGGGTAGTTATTATCCTATAATTTGAATTTGAAATATTGTTTGCTATTCCCTTCTGCTATTATAAATAATTAAGGGCTCATTTAAATATCATACAATCATTTTGCTATTCTGATGGAATATTTTCAAAATGCCTAAACAATCTAATGGCAGTAAGATCCAATCCAATTGGAAGTGTTCATCAATTCCTCATCAAAGAACGGTCAACCTAAACTTTAGCTGTAGGCCCCATTTTATTCCTTAATCTAATTTTTGGCCAAAACACACTCTACATTTTTTTTTAATTGCAAGTTTGATTTAGGTTTTCCAAAGATTTTTTAGATCTTCGATCCAGGCTTAAAAAAGGGTGGCTTGATTTGATCTCATAGTTTAGATCACTAGCATTGAACTTGTGAGGAGCATTACTAGTACCCTTCTTGACCTTGGAACTTGAAAAGGACTACCAAGTGTGATTATTGGAACTTGAAAAGATGTTAGAATGTTGTGAGGATATCTTTCATAGCGTTCAAAATAAAATTTCCCATCCAATATAGCTTGTGCAATTCAAATCGACATCCAATTTTATATTTCACCGATAAATCTCATAGTGGAGAAAACAAGTTTCAGAGAATGATGAGACAAAAAGAGATTCTAAGAACCTTTCCCATTAATCTAGCCGAGGAGATCTCCATAGTGCTTATAAGAGAATTCAAGAGGTTACAGTGGTTTATTTCACATGGACAAATTGGAGGCAGTGGTCAACGTAAGGAAACATGGACAACTGAGTACTTGTAAGGATCATTTTTTTGCATATAATCATGCATAAAAGCATTATTTGCTTTTATATGTAGAGCAAATCAAGCGTTGACAACTTATGGGGCAAAAATTGTGTCCGGAAGTGCTACTACTCAAGAAAGGCGTTCACTACGAGCCAATCTCGCCATCAGAATGGCTCATCACATTGCAAGTGGAAGTACATAATAATCTTTAATATTGGTTGACTACGCATCTATGGCCACATTGGGTTAATCACATCAACAAGATGGCTACAACAACAAGCATTTAAGTTGACTTTTATGCTATGCGCTTACTTCCACCATCAATTTAATGGTGACAACATAGTTGACATCTATGGTTGGGTAGAGTTTGATAATTGGGGCAATTGTTGCATAGTCACATCATGGAGTAGCTGCATTTCATGAGCCAACTACAACAATATCATGGTTGATTATAATGTAAGCTGGGTCATCAGTATCTTGGATGGTTTGACTACAAATTTGTTTTATTTTATTCCCGTAATTTATTATAGGATCCAATTACTTGACGAAATAATTCATGATCTAGAAGGATACCAAGAAAATGTGCATTAGCTAAACTTGACAATTACGTGGGTCAAATCTACTGGATTTAGCTATTTTTGGCTAACTTGACATGTGATAAGCTAATCTAGATCAACTCGACCATTAAGTTAGGCTATTTAGGCTCCATGGACTCATATGAGGCTATGTGAAAGAAACATAAGCTACAAGGAAGATGCAAGCAATGTTTTAACAGGCGGAGACATACGGTGAGATGTTTTAGTTGATTTGTAATCTCCTTAGTATGAATTTAATATTTAAAATATTTAATTAAAATAAAATATAATTAAAAATCAAATATAATGAAAAAAGAATCATAATCATATGATTTATATTCTTACTCCAAAGTTTAATTGGTACAAAAATATATAATAAAACAATTTGAAAAATCAACATTAAATAAGATGAGCATTGAGTTGGTATAACAAGCTAAGAAAGATAGGGGAGCTCTAGCAAAGCGACGGGGATCCAAAGATTGTCACAATGCAAGAGTGATAAAGACTAGTCATGCTTTGGTGTTTGTTCAAGATTATATACTAGAGAAAATTATTTGATAGCATACCAATTTTTAAGAGATCAGAAATAATTAATATTTTCGTTCACATTTTTATTTAAATCGATAGGATAGTTAAAATTGATGAAAGTCTTACTATTTGACATTTATTTAATTTAAATTATAACCTGGGGCTATCACCTCACTAATTGGGCGCAAAAGGCGAGCCTTTGGTTCCCTTTGCAATACCTCAGCTTGTGGGGTGTTGAACACTCCTAATGCCCCGCATATCAAATGCCTTTCCTACTTGTACCATATTTATTTTACCCTGCCTCGCTTTGATGTTAGCCCAAAAAGTGTAATTTAATACATAGGATACAAACAGCATAGAGTGTCTTTCATCAAAGCTCAAATAGCCCAAACCATCATGTTCGCTTTATTGCAACTTGATATTACTTAAATTGATTATTTCTTGCACTTGCAAAGAAGGAAAATCAATTTGATAAAACAGCTTTAGTGATTGTTCCAGTTACTTTTAGTTATTATTAAATCCCTTATTAGGGCGATTCTCGATGCAATAAGTGAGATTCTTGTATTTTTGCAATCTGATTAAACCTATTATTCATACAAAATTATGCTTTGCATTGCATATCATTATGGTTTCTGCTTGTCGTTTATTATTCCCTTTAATTTATTTTTTGATTTCATTGTAAGGAAATTGATACATGCATATTTGGATACACTATATATCTTTACTTAACTTATTTATGTATTTTAGCCGTTTCAGCATTCTTAAATTTTTCTGCAAATTTTCATTATATTTTACCTGAACTAGGTGGAGCGTTCTGTTAGCTACAATGAGCACAGGCCAAGAAAACCTCCACCAGATTTGCCATCCTTGCTACTTCATGGGCGAATTGTCTATATTGGCATGCCTGTAAGTGTTATGACCTTCCTGCTTTATGAAAATGGCCAAGTAGGTTTACACTGTCGTTGATTCGTTTTATGATAAAACCTTTTTTATATTGCAGTTACAACTTTGTTAATATTGCACTCTTGGTTTTCATTCCGCAAGGAAAAAAATACAAATTTTTTTTTATTTTGTTAATTTTGTTGTACTTGTTATCTTTTTTATTTTTTTGGTCATCTTTCAAACAAAAAGGTGGCATACAATTCTAGAAATCTTTTGTTGAACTATTCTTTCTTGTTTAGCTGGTGCCTGCTGTAACGGAGCTGGTTATTGCTGAACTGATGTACCTGCAATGGATGGATCCAAAGCAACCAATCTATCTTTACATCAATTCAACTGGAACTACACGTGATGATGGTGAAACTGTACGTAATATCATGTTTTGTTTTAGCATATATGAATGTTCAGCCTACCCAGAATTATCTTCATACAATTGTTTTCTTTAATCTTTATGTTGCTTTGAATTTATGAATTATTTCACTAGGAAACTTATGAATTTCATTTGAGCGAAGAAAAAATGACTCATTCTTTAGTTAACTTAGCTCTCAAGTTACATCAATTTAACTGGAACTACACGTGATGATGGTGAAACTGTACGTAATATCATTTTTTGTTTTAGCATATATGAATGTTCAGCCTCCCCAGAATTATCTTCATACAATTTTTTCCTTTAATCTTTATGTTGGGTTGAATTTATGAATTATTTCGCTAGGAAACTTATGAATTTCATTTGAGCGAACAAAAAATAACTCATTCTTTAGTTAACTTAGCTTTCAAGTTATTTCTGGTCTTTTCTCAAAGCTAATTCAATTTAGCTATCATGAATACCCCTGCAGCTTTTTTTTTTGTGATTGTATGAGATACCTTGTTAAGAGTCATTATTATTAGGTTGGTTAATATGTTGAGTTGTTGGCAAATCCATGTTTATGATTGCTGATCTAACGGCCATGTAGAACTTGGTCTGAATTAGCTTTACGTAGGCTTCTTGCTATCCCTGTTTGACAGCTATTCTCAAACTTCATAAGGACATATTACTTTATTTAGGCTGCAGCAGAGGCTCATGCAGGAAAACATTTTGGTTTACCGGTGCACTTTTTAACTAAATTTCTCTTAGCTTGTTTCACTTTTAATTAACTTAACGGAACCTTGGGAAAAAAACTGTGTTGATTTTTAACAAATTTAAGCCACAAATGGATAGATGGACGATGGATAAAAATTTATTGTTTGACATTTTGAGAACCACCTCAAAGTTCCAGATTAAGTCATTTTGGTTCACGCGGAGTTTCACGCCTTGTTAGCTCTAGGTCAAAGTTGTATTTCTTTCAGAGAATAATGCATCAAGCCTTCATCTTTGTCGTTTACTTCTATTTATTTTGTGTTAGCTTTATGAATCAATATTTTTTATTTGTTTTTACTAAGTGCTGCTTGAGGCATTAAGCTTATTCTACCAAATCTTTTTTAATATAGTTCTACTCATATTACTTTTTTCCTCTCTCTCTCTCTTTCAAATCATTCACCTTAATTTTATACATCTATCTTATTCGTGCTTTTTTGCCTTTTTTTTATACATCTAAACCACTAAGTATATTGTACATTAGTTTATATTCAAATGATGGCTCATATTTGCTTTGACATAATCATTCTAACATGTTACCTTTGTTTACCTTTGTCCCTCCTAATCATTCAACACTGATTTTGTGTATTCGTCTTGTGGGGTACATTTGTATTATTTGTTGTAAATGCCATAATAGTCTATTCTCCAATATCTTTTCTGGAATAAATGCAGCTCACACTATTTGTCTGATGCAATTATTTCTCAATCTATATTCTCATTTTTATTACACATGCATCTTAATATTCTTACTTTTAACATGCGTAAATTGGCTATAAATTTTTTACTTCTTACTTAAATCCAATAACATGCTCTACTTGAATTCTACTAATAACATCCCCATGAATATCACCATCATTTTGAACAATAGACTCGATATTTAAAGCGTTCACACCTTTTAATAATTTGATTACCAATAGTTACATTTCTCTCACTAGAGCTACTACTACTAAAATTATTTTCCATGTATTCAGATCTAGTTCTACTCAAACGAAGGCCTTTAGACTCCAAGATAGACCTCCATAAAACAAGTTTTTCCTGAGATTTTCTTTCGCTTTATCCACAAGAAGGATATCATCAACAAAAAACATACACCATGGTACATCCTCCTGTAAGTTTCTAGTAAGACCATCCATAACTAAAGCTAAAAGTTATGGGCTTAAAGCCGATCTCTGATGTAAACCAACAGAAGTAGGAAAATATTTGGTTAATCCTCTGTTCGAACGCAAATAACAATTCTTGTATACATATCTTTAATGACTTGAATATAAGTCATAACAACACGTTTCTTTTTAAGAACTATCCAAAGGATATCTATTGGAACCTTATCGTAAGCTTTTTCTAAATCAATAAAAATCAATGTAGACTTCCTTATTATCTCTGCCTTGAGGACCTGTTGACCTTGCTTTCGATCGAGGTGCAGTTTTCCCCTCCTTAGTAGCCTAGGATCTAGCCGTAGGACCTTTCTGTCGACCACTCCTAGTAAACTAGTGAAGGAGCCCTCCCCGTTAGCAATTCTGAACTTTTCTTCGCTCGACTTGACGTTCCATATAGTAGTTTTGACCGGTTTTGACCGCTATTGTTTTTGACCGCTATTGTTTAGCAGGTAAGACTACTTTGAAGGAACTCAGGGAGTATTCCTATAGGACTGTCGGCTTTAGGATTAACTGTACTCGTTGATTTGACGCTGCCGCGTTCTTCGCCGTCCTGTTTAATCGAATTTTAGCCGAGTTTTTGACGTGATTCGGGTCGCGACGTGTTTTCGTCTCAATCGTCGACGAGGTCATCTAAACGAGCCGATGCGTCTGGGACATCGATTTTGCCTAGAGGAGACGTTCGTTTCATTGCGACGGCACGTTTTGGGGAAAATACATATTTATGTGTTAATTATAATAATAAATAATATTTTATTATTATTATTATTATAATTAATAACTTATGTTAAAAAATCCTTAACCTAGTTTATTTCCCCTTCCCTTTCTTCCTCTCGCGCTCATGGACCCCTGTCCTAACTACGGTTCGCTCGGTTTCACCTGACCCACTCCTTCGTGCCGTTGGAGTTTCGTCCCCGCGCTCGTTCCTCTCGCACGCGAGACAACCTCGCAGGCGACCCATCCTCTTATTATTGCCGAGGATCCTATCCTTTGCGAGGATCGTATCCTCTGCTCTCGACCCTCCTTGCCGCAAAGCGTGGCCTCTACGAGGATCGTATCCTCTGCGCTCGATCCTTCTGTCGTATCTTCTTAATCATTCTTTGGTATATATTAGAGCTCGGTTTTGTAGCCCTGAGGGTATGCCGAATAAAATCTCTTAGAGAGGGAGGAAACTCTGTTATTTTCTTTTCTCACTTACTTCTTTAATTTTCTAGTGCTTGAATGTGCTTGAATTGGTTTCATCTTGCGAGTTGAAGTTGGGGAGTGCCTTTAAAGTTCCTGTGTTACTTTCTTTTGCTTCAAGGAGATACCTTTTCCCCTTTTGTGCCTTGCCCTTTTTTCGGTTTTGCCCTGTCGAGCCCCTGTTAGCTTGGTGCGATGGGTGATACAACATGCTGACTTAGTTGACACTTGTATTTTTGAATACATGAGACTCAAGCATCTAGGAATAGAAATGCAAACATACTTTAAGGGCTAGATTTGATTACCTGTTTAGAAGGATATAAGTATAGCATGTTATCGACTTTTCTCTTTTCCCTACTTGGTTAAAATGGTAAAACTATGACATATTTCTATTATTGTGAATGAGAAGGTTGAAACGTGGCTTTGAGACGATGCTAGCTTCTTTTTCCTCTTTTTGTTCAAAAGCAAGTTGAAATAATTGAAAATGTAGCTTTCAGCTGATGCTGGCTCGTCTTGCAAGCATGTTGGGATATGTATTATGAGGCTTTTCATCTATTCTTATTAGTATGAGATATTGAAAAGTTTATTTGGCCTTTCATGCATGTTTGGGGGCTCGGTTTTGGTTTCTTATGGCTCTTCCTTGCTTGGAATGCATGTTATGAGAGGATTTATTTAATTCGACAAGTCTTGTAACTTGTTTTGGTGGTTGGGTTTAGCACCTCACGAGGCATCACTTTGTTTAAACCTCTATTGGAAGTTGTTTCATGCTTGGAATATTTAAGTTGGGGGCTTAACTATACTCTTTATATTATTGCTCTTGTTAAGACATATGTTGGGCTCTATATCTTGATGTTTCAAAAGATGTTTCAAA